CCTGTGCTGGGGATGAGGTAAGGAGTCTGGAGGCTTCAAGCCTTTATTCGGTAAAGTGCTTTTAAACTTTTATTTGGTAAATAAAAGTTTGTCCTGCCCTACAGGGGTTATCTCTGATAATCTCCCATTATGGACAAGGTCTTTAATCCCAGTTCTTCCCTATAGTTGAGGGATGGGCAGACATTTCTTCTAATCCTACAGCTAAAATTATCCTCAGCTCAAAATATTCCACATACCACAAAAGCACATGTCAGGGTGACTAGCTCTGAACCTCCACAAATATATAAGTAAGAGAGAGAGATCATAAACAATAAATACTAATCTTTAATGCACTAGAGTATAATAATACTAATTTATATATATAAAGAGCCAGGGGCCGTCGTATCAGAAACAACCAAATGGATGACCAAACAGGTTGAGTGGGGTGATCAGGCTAACAGGGGGGTTAGTGGGGGACAACCAAATGACTGAGCGGGTGAGCAGGCAGGCAAGGGGGCCAGTGAGGGGTGGCCAGGCCAGCAAAGGGAGCAGTTGGGGGCAACCAGGCTGGCAGTGCAGGCAGTTCAGGTCGACCAGGCAGGCAGCTGAGCAGTTAAGAGTCAGCGGTCCTGTACTGTGAGAGGGATGTCTGACTGCCAGTTTAGGGGTCTCAGATTGGAGAGGGTGCAGGAGCTGAGAGGGGACCCCCACCACCACCTGTGCACGAATTTCATGCACTAGGCTTCTAGTATTGATAATAATTATAATAATCTCAGTTTGGACATAAATGTGCTTGTTAAAATGTCTCAGGACTTTAAGACTTCATTCTTGCATCATATGAGAGAAATGGGTGAGAGCATCTGTGGTTGAAAGGGGCCACATGCTACCCTGACAAGCTCAGGGAAGGTCTGCATGGCAGTCTTTCAAACTCAAATACCTAAAATAACCGCAAAGAACAGTCTGAAATTAAACTTTAGCTAAAAGCAGTTATGGTGGGTAGTCACCTCCTAGGCCTGTATCTTCCCTGACAAGGTCAGTCTTTACCTTAACTGAGCTTATTGTCTTTTTTCATCTATGATAACATATATTTGAAATGTCTGGTTAACTTGTAACTTCCCTGTTTTCTGGACCCTTGGGGCATACCTGAATGCTCTGGGTGCCAGGACAGATACCGCAAATCCCTTCATTGTTATTGTTATCATGTTAATTGTTGACTGTTAACTATCCTGTACCCATCTAAGTTAAAAGAAGTATGTGTCTATCATTTTACTTTTTATCCAATCCCCAAGGTTTCCCTGCTTTGTTTTCTCCCACCTCTCTAATCTATTACCGTATTTGCCGGCATATAAGACGACTGGGCGTATAAGACGACCCCCTAACATTTCCACTCAAAATACAGAGTTTGTTATATACTCGCCGTATAAGACTACCCCCTCTTCCGCACACCTTCCACACACCAAATAAAAGGTAAAACAATATCAGATTTGATTTTAACATTTTAATTTATATTCAAATGCTTATGACATGCAGGAAAACTGTCACAAGGCTGTATGTAATCAAACATATACATAAAACAGTGCAAGTTTATTACCGGTAAACATACCGGTAATTCACTAAAGAAAACACACTCTATAGACTGGTACCGTAGATGCTTCTCAGGAACACAGGCAAGCAGCCCACAACCTAGAGGGACTGTCAATGATAGAAGTAAGATAACAAATAGAGGTAGAGAGCAAGTGCCGGGCAAGTCCCTAGCAA